CGTGACTGTTCTTGAATGGCCCAGCCAGAGCCCTGACTTAAACCCAATTGAGCATCTCTGGAGAGACCTGAAAATGGCTGTCCACCAACGTTTACCATCCAACCTGACAGAACTGGAGAGGATCTGCAAGGAGGAATGGCAGAGGATCCCCAAATGCAGGTGTGAAAAACTCATCATTCCCAAAAAGACTCATGACTGTATTAGCTCCAAAGGGTGCTTCTACTAAATACTGATCAAAGGGTCTGAATACTTATGACCATGTGATATTTCAGTTTTTCTTTTTTAATAAATCTGCAAAAATGTCCAAAATTCTGTGTTTTTCTGTCAATATGTGGTGCTGTGTGTACATTAATGAGGAAAAAAAATGAACTTAAAGGATTTTAGTATATGGCTGCAATATAACAAAGAGTGAAAAATTTAAGGGGGTCTGAATACTTTTCGTACCCACTGTATGTTATATTAACTACAGTTTAATACACTACAGCAAAAGGAACATTTTCTCCTTTCATTCTCCTTGAAGCTGAACACAGACATGTAATAGCATTAGTCTGCTCTTGACTTACAAAGGCAGTGGGGGTGCACACTGAAGGATCCACCCAACAAATCTGTGAAAAATCTCTTATGCATTGCTCTGCCTCTGTGGTTATCAAACATCAACACACCAGACAGAACCTTACCTTTACTAATGTCAGCCAGCCATATCTGCGGACTGTGTGCTATGTACTGCACAAGCCTGAGTATTCTCTGCTTGTCACTGAACTGCAGCAGTAACCAGGCCTGACTGTGCTCTTTTGTGAATGATGGATTGACCTGATTGATGGAGAGAGTAGTGTCTGCTGTCCTTTAGAAATAAGGATATCATCCTATTTATGGGAAATGTGCCCATTTTCTCCCTTTGTAGATATATTTCTTTAAGCCAAAGTTGACTTTTCTTCCCCACTCTGTGCTCAATTAGTGGCATTAAAATGAATGATAATGAAATGGGTTTGCATTTTCATAAAGTCACATAAAAGAGCGCTTACACCACCAGTCCACCCCCTCCAATCCATTTCTAACAGGATACTAATCTAGCAGCCTACGGTTATACTGTTAAAGCTGCCATAAAGGTTTTCAAAGAAATATGGTGAAGAGAAAGAACAAATTGTCTGTCACTAAAGTGCCTGTAGATGCTGTTGATCTCAGTCTGTATTTATTCCTTCTTGTCCCTGACAGTTTGTCCTTTCTTGTCAGTGAAAGCATGCCTCTCTGTTCTTTTTGCAATTATTTCACACAACTTTGTTTCACTCTGGCTTTTTCCTTCTTCCCAGTTGCTTCCAGTGTTTTGTGAATGACTGAGTGGCTGATGGGATTTGTTTGGCCATGGTTCATAAACCACTGTAGGAAGGGGGTTTGAGAAGGGTGGGGGTGATGTAGAGAGTCTATGTGATCAAGGAGGAGTAGATGAAGAGAGGTTCACACTTAAATCCAGGTGAGCAATCACTGGAAAGCCCCAGGGACCTGTTAATACACAGCATGCACTTAGAGCACACACACATACAGTATGCATGCACACAAAGGTTTATATTTCTATCTTTGTTAGTACACTAACTGACAACATGCATTTCCTAGCCCCTTACTCTAACCCTAGCCATTACAACTAAATACCTAACTAACCTTAATCTTAAACCCACAGTCAAATTCTTTCAAGGTGTGTCCAAAATGTGCCACATACATGGTAAAGACTGGTCCACACAAGTACCCACACCCACATGCAGCACTGAACTACGGGTGACACTAGCGAGATGTCTTTTTGTTCCTCCAGACAGCACTAATCGATTTGGTAACCCCTGGCTCTGGCTCACAGTGGGCGAATACAATTGTGTGATGGTGTGGTTGTGTGTTTGTGCTCGGTCACTCAATAATTGTCTGGCACAGTTCTAAATTAAATGGCCTTAATGTGGACGGATGAACAAGACTAATAATGGAGCTCCGCACTGGCCAAACTTTCATTAGGGAAATGACTCGAATAAGTTGACACACTCCAGATTTGGCACACGCACGCATGCACGCACGCACACAAACACAATTTAAGAACTAAAACAGAACTTGCGCTTTCTGTCTCTACGGAGCCTCAGTATGTGCAATACATTATTTTCTGTAGCCCGTTTCCTGTTGTGACTCCGAGGAAAAAACAATACCTAAACCGAGAAATTCAAAGAGAGAACTGGACACAGGGCGCAAAGTGGGTCACAGCGTTGGCATCCCTGCTCAGTGGTGCCTTCTTTTCTCTTGAGGATACACACCAAGGAAGCTGTCCAAAAACAAACAGTCGAGGGATGCGGCACGAGTTCACTTTGGTGGAGAATTCAAACTGTCCCCGAACAGCGGAACCAGACTGTCGGGAAAAGCTGATGAAATATCCAAATGGCCAAGTTTGGTGGCTAAGCCATGGCTCAGTGCTCTATCATTCAGCCTCGCCCATTCTAACCCCAGTCTTCAGCTCTTGCTTATTAACTACCATTCTCCGTCGGTCCATCGAGCATGTGAAGAATCGACTTATCCTTTTGCCTTTGTGCTGCGCCTGGTGAGAGCAGAGAATGTGCGCGCAGAGGCTGTTGATATGAGAGGTGTGATGGTCTGTGAAACCACTCTGCAGAGGGAGGCAGGTACAGAAGAGCAGTGTGTTTCTGGGCTCGTTTTTGGACAAAAAAAGTGACTCTTGAACATCATGGCGCGACTCTTGTGGACGTCCACTCATCATGGAGAAATGGACTGGTCGGGCATGTTTTAATGGCATTTCAAACCGCTACAACTAGGAAATAAAATGATGTCCAAAGCGCATGGAGGGACCGCTTGAGACCAATAACTCCAGTTCTAAATGGCAGAACTTGAAGTTTGCAGAAATCTCAGTCTGGAGAAAGGTAAGCTATCATTTTTCAGCTTTTGGTCGTTTGATTATTTATTTTTCTGTTTCTTCTGAAAATGAATGCCCCGTGTGGCTCACGCATTCCTTTGGATTGCTACAAGCTGAAGCCCGTGCGTAATTTCTCCATGGCTCTTGCTGTTGTGGTGCATTTTCATTACCCATTTTGCTTAAAACACTCGAGAAAGAAATCTTATCTGAGCGTTGTCAATATGGATAGGCT